ATTCTTAGCATTTATTTTGCTTTTATTTTGCTTTTACCAACCAGGCTTTCACAGGAACCTACCGAAGGCCCGTCCCGTGCCCATTTCGAGTGCCTAGCACTTGCTAACGTACCCCAATCAAGGATATATACTTTAACTAACTTTAACTAGAGTTTGTTAAAGTATATTTTTACGTTGTAATTATATTAACAAATTATTCAACCTTCCATTCTTACCTAATTGGAAATAATGTAAGACTCCAGAGGCGAAACTCTCATAATAAGTTAACCTTGATCCGGTCATGTTGGCCTCTCTAATATTGATGCCCTTAAAGTAAGGGGCCCTTTTGCGCCTGCTGCTGTTTTTAGGACTCTCTGCGGCCTTCACCCGAGACTGAGTCTCCACATTAGCTTGAAGTCAAAAATAATATCTACCTAAGATTTGCCCTGGTGTTAAAGTTAATAACAATAATATTTTAGAGCTTACACTTCTCCTAATTGTTTGACCGAGCTTCTGCTCCACTTTATGGCATGCGTTTTGATATTTTTACGCCAATTGAGGAACCTACGAATTCACGCGCCCTTCGAATGGCAAAAGCTTTAATATGGTTTCAATAAGAAGCTCTTTTTCATGGTAAAAGTGCTATCGGAGGTTTGTCATTTACTGCCGAGGACCCTGGTCCTACGGAGTAATAATGCGCACCTCTAACCACTGGAGATTATGTACATATGTATAATATTTTGTAGTTAGTTATGCAAGATCAACATTTTTCTAAACACCCTGTTTGTTTCCACTATTCAAGTTGACTTTGACTTCAACTGCCTCAGATTGTTAGCCAAGTTAGCCAACTTTCGCTGACGCCAAATAATTGAAATCTGGAAAACAATTTGATGTTGACGGCACGTGGCAATGAATGAAACTTTAAGTAGCGGAAATTGCATTGGAGTCTTGTTGAGTTGGGAAAATAGGCAAATATGCTTAAGATTAAAGAACGTTGATGAAACAGGGATGTATGCATTGCATATAGGTGTATAGGAGGAAATTAAATTGAGCTACAAAGTCAAAAGATGGACCAAATTTTATGGTTTACTTTATGTGATGAAGGTCCGCTTTTGTATTGTATATATGAAGCCTGATAGCCCAAAATACTTAGTAGACGAATTCCGAATACTTTGGCCATTACCACTAACATTATCTTTAACACTGCGATTATATTTACCGTTACTATTACTGCTACCATTAACGTTACCATTGCCAAAAGGGTTATCATTAACATTACTGTTACTAATTGTGGTAGTGGTTATGGCCATGACAATGGAAACCGTAACGGTAATGATGATAGTATTGGTAATGTTAATGTTAGTCCCTATGGCAAAAGCATTACACATTATTACCACTAACATTTCCATAGCCTTTACCATTACTACTACTATTACTACATTCATTACCATTACTTTTACTGTTATCATACAATATCATTACCACTTCCATAACCATTACCATTACCGATACCATTACCGTTATTATCACCAACCATTAACTTTATCATTATTGTTACCATTATCATTACCACTGCGATAAGATTTACATATAACGTTACCGTTAGCATTTTCACTACCGTTATTATTACCATTGCCATTACCCTACCATTACCGTTACCAATACATTTACCTTTCCCTATACCTCTGTTACTCCATAAATTTTCTAAAGAAATTCAACCTGTAGTTAAGTTTTCCATTTTTATTTCTTGCTATTCACTATTCACCAAAAGCACCAAACACATGCATCCAAAACAGGTACTCTTTTGCATAAATATGTGTGGGTCTGTATGTGTGTACGTATGTATACTATATATCCACATACATATGTTTGTGGGCGCATGGATGTGAGTTTACGGTCATCAAAGCGGCGGTAGATTTACCTTTGAACCGGAATTGCATGTCAGTTGCAGCAAACAATGGCTAACCACGAACGGCCCGCTGAGCTATTACCAACTACCAGAATAGTAACGTCGCAGTGAATAAAGTTACTGTGTATGTAACCAGTATGTAAGCGTGGGCTTTGACCTTTGTATAGTGTTCATACGCTGCCTTAACCGCTGACCTGCTACGATGCTACCGCACGTTGCCAAAGCTAACTGGTTTTGAATTGATACGCAACTAAGACGTCAATGTGCAAGAGCGTGGCCTACAACATACCCAAGTGCACTGCTGTTGTCCCTTGTTGGCTTTTATGTTACTTGATACATATACCGCGTCGTGTTCTTATTGACATATTCAGCTTGACGCAAGCGAAATCAGGTCTTATGCTTTAACCATGTCCTTACGTCAAATGCCAACAACGTCAACTTGCAGGCAATGCCATGAGCCAGCTTGGCTAGGCATAGACAAATGGCGCTGGCTTTGACTGATGTTGGCGATGATGCTGACGCTGATGAGGGTAGAGTGGAAAGAATGAAAAGCATATCTTTCGATATAAGAGACAAGCAAAATGTCACAAGCACGCAGTTAATGTTGTTTTATTATGCGCGTTCCTTATCTCCCAGAAATAGTCAGAAAAAGTCCGAAGTAGTCAGATTTAGTCCAAAAAGCGTTCCTTAACTCGGAAATGACAGCAAAAATGAGAGAGCAACAGTCAGTGAGAGCGACTCTCATCAGTCCGAAGTAGTCAGATTTAGTCAGAAGAATTTTTTCTGGCAAAATCCTGAAAAGTGTCAAACTCAACTGAATTTAAATTAACGGAAATTAAATAATACGCAAAAAGTGAGAATAATCTAGAAAGTAAAAGAAATGAATTGAAATTGGAAGGAGGCAAAAAATAATTGATATAGCAAGTTTTTATTGTGCTTGTGCTTGTGTGAATGTGTTTTGTACATACATTTCTGTTCTTATTTGACGTTAGTTTTGTTGTTGCCATTCTTTGGACTAAAAATTTGGTTTTTTGCGTTCCTTTACTTTTCCTGTTACTCTCTTTTAGTGAGCGCATTTTGCTTACGCTCTGGCATTTTGACACTTTTCAGATTTTAGTCCAAAAAGATAAGGAATGAACCTATTGTTATTATTAACTTGCTTCCACTGCACTTTACGATCAACCTAAGGTCACCAACTTATTATAAGTATAAATGCAACTGCGTCAACAGCATTTACTACTTTACTTCACTGAGCTCATTTCGACATGTTCAGCATCCCAATGTCGAGTGCAATATGACAACAGCAGTTAATGATGTACTACAACTCCAGCATAAAAACTAACATACACCACTACATATACATATGTATATGTATAGGTGTATAAACATGCTCGTACCTACGTTAGTAAAGCTGTTATGCTTAGCTCAGTGGTTATGGGTTAAGTTTTGGCTTACACAAAAGTCGTCACTTTCCACTTTCAGTAGTTCAAACTGCCATTTGCTTTACAGATATTGATGACTTTTGCTTTGTTAGTTGGTGTTAAGTAACTTCTGTTATTATTGTTGTTGACACTGGTTTAGGATAACAACATTTTATTGACCGCATGAAGATAGTCGTAGCGCTTCATTATTTGAGGAGTGGCTGTTTCAAAACAATGACGACTCTGGATCTCAAATCTTTTTTCAGTTAGCATCTTTGGAGAGTTTGCAGAAGGCAAAAGCACTGTACATCTAGACTTCATTGTTAACAAGGTTAAAGATATGAAAAGGAATACGAAACCGAATAGGAATGCGAAGAAAAAGGTGATGTGCAATAATGTCAATCGAATTAAATGAAACGAAAACGAAGACGAATCCAAACCTTAAAAAAAATACCAACATGAAGGCAAATACGGCAACGAAGCCAAAAACGAAAATGAAAACGAATGCTGAGGTGAAGACGAATACTAAAACGAAGGCCAAGTCGAATACGAAAATGAGACCAAGAGGAATCCGAATAGGCAAATGAACCGGCAGAAGCGGACAGCGATGGTGAACACGAAGACGAATACAGCGAAGAATAAAAAAACAAACACAAAGAAAAATGCGAATACAGAGTTGAAGACCAATGCGGAATATATTACAAAGACGAATACTAAGAATATCGCGAAGGCCAATGCGAGAACGAAGGCTTAGACGAACATGAATACGAATAACCATCATCACCCTTACCACTAGCGTTAGCAGTAACATTACCGTTATCATTATAATTACAATTACCATTACCGACATCTACCACTAACGTTACCACTACCATTACCATTAATATTATTGTTACATTACCATTGCCAATACTATTACTTACGATGATAAATATGAAGACGAATAAATACTAATAAGAGAATTTAAGCCAAACTAAGAGTAATACAAATTTCTGCAGTATGGTGGTGTGGCTGAGGTGCAATTCTTTTTGACTACTGGTCACGGCAAATATTTATTAGCTGGTGTTAATGTGGGTTTGCTTCTCAGTTGATAATTAAAGACCCTCATGTCTTTTGTTGGAAATGTTTTTTCTGGGATTTATTTCTGGTTAAAATAATGAACTTCCGGCTTCTTAAATCCACCGCCGCTCGAAGCAGGGAGTCTCTAAAAATGGCAAAAGATACGAGCACCTTGGTGATTCATTTAAGTTTTTTTTTGTTTTCTAATAAAAAAATTTCCGTAAAGTTTAGAAGTCGAGGATGTGTTTAAGTTCGACGGTCATTTGGAGGTTGGAAAAAGCGCTTCTGAGAAAAACTTGGAAATAAAAGTGACCTATTTTTTTCTCGTAATCCGAATCTGTAGTAAAAACACGTATGTCTAATTTAAAAAATGGACTTCCGGTCAGTTTAACCTACTTCCGGACGAAACAGGATGTGGGTAAAACTACCAAAGCCTGAGCATCTCCATTTTGGTAGGTCATATTTTTGCGTTTTTCAGTAAAAAACATTTGCCGCCATTTTAGAAGGGGTGGAGAGGTGGTCTAGGACACCCCGTATACATATGTACATATATATTTATCAGGCATCTTATCTGAATTATTGTATTGTGAATTTGATTAATATCATCTCCTCTCTGCCTCCTCTCATTTCAGGTAATTACCGCAACACGTTCACTAGTGCTTTGTGCCGAGTCCCGCCGCGAAATGGAAGACTGGGTTACCTCGCTCAAATCCGCCTCGATACCGGCACGTGCGCGCGGCGATAGTTTCTACATAGAACAACACGATTTGTTCTTCAACCACCACCACTGGTATGCAACATCTCACGCGCGACCCACCTACTGTAATGTTTGCCGCGATGCTCTGTCCGGCGTTACCTCGCATGGCCTCTCGTGCGAGGTATGCAAATGTAAAGTACATAAGCGGTGTGCCGCCAAAGCGATTGCCAATTGCAAGTGGACTACATTGGCCACCGTTGGCAAGGATATCATTGAGGATCGTGATGGCAGCATCATAATGCCACATCAATGGATGGAGGGTAATTTGCCGGTGTCATCGACTTGTGCCGTTTGCAAGAAAACGTGCGGCTCTGTGCTGCGTCTACAGGATTGGCGTTGTTTGTGGTGTCGCGATACGGTACACGTTGCTTGTCGTCCACAACATCCTGTCGCATGCCCACAAGGACCAGCCAAGCTGTCGGTGGTGCCACCCACTTGTGTGCACTCCATTGGTAATGATGACTCTTGGGATGTGGAAAGCCCGAAGGGAAACTTTTCGCCGCTTTTAGTGTTCGTCAATTCAAAGTCGGGTGACAATCAGGGTGTCAAATTTTTGCGGCGCTTCAAACAGCTCTTAAATCCAGCGCAAGTATTCGACCTCATATCGACCGGCCCCAGTTTGGGATTGCGTCTCTTCAGGCATTTTGAAATGTTTCGGATATTGGTTTGCTCCGGCGATGGTTCTGTGGGTTGGGTGCTCAGCGAGATTGATCGATTTAATATGCATGTAAGTATAGCAGACTTTGTTTAACTTACTTAGCTTTAGCCTGAACTTAGTTCTCCTTAATTTATTTTTATTGTATTCTCAATTATCGATACTCAGTTTTCCACTAACCTTCTCATTATTTTTTCTGCACTTCAGAAACAATGCCAAGTAGCAGTTATGCCCCTGGGTACCGGCAATGATCTTGCGCGCGTACTAGGTTGGGGCTCATCCTGCGATGATGATGCACATCTGCCACAAATACTCGAACGTTACGAATCGGCTAGCACTAAAATGCTTGACCGCTGGAGCATAATGGTCTTCGAGAAAGCCATCGCTGTACAACCAAAGACCCCGAAGATGTCATTGTCGAGTGCACAAGAAGCGCTGCTCACTGGTATGGTTACAGCGGCTAATTTGAATTTGCGCTCCATTGTCGAGACCGATGATACTCAAACGCTCGTAGCTGCCACGAAAACACTCTGCGAGACACTCGACGAACTAATGGTGCAGATCTGTGAGAGTCGCAAGGACGATGAACAATTAACGATTAAATGTGACATATTGCGTGAGAAGTTGAGTATGCTGCTGGATGCTTTGCGCGAAGAAGAGACCGGTGTGCATGCCGGTGATGATCTGCTAACGACAATCAGTAATATAATAGCAAAAAGTGCGCCCACCTCACCAACTGCCTCGCCTACGCCCTCGCCATCTTCCTCACTGCTGTAA